TTCAATCATTTTTTTCTCTCCTATTTTCTTGGGTATGTTAGCATGTGATTTGTCATTTAGTAAATTCAAAGAAACAGCAGACAGACCTGCAGATGGGGCTGTTCAGATCCACTTTGTGTGGCATTTTATGTGCCTTGTACTAAGTAAGCTCCACAGGAAAGCCCTATCCACAAGGAATGGGATCTTGCACCTCCTCATGCTGCCCGAGGTTGAGATAATGTTGGTGTAAGTAGACTGTTAGCCTTCTAGAGGGATGCTAAGCTGACTCACATCTGAGTCTCACAGCTTCAAGGGCCCACTCTGGCTCAGGTACTTCAGGGCCCATGTGTTGGTGATACATGACAAAATACAAGGGTGCCTGCAGCACTGATGTGCATGTACCTAGACAACTGTTGTGTTTCCATATGTGAGTACTGGCCTGCTGAGAGCTATGCTGCCCAGAGTTTGGGTATAGTTAGGAGAGATAGTTCCTTGGCTACTAAAGCTGTTTCTAAGGTGAGTCATAGCTGAGCCTCACAGTTTCCAGGGCTTGTCTGGTTCTGAGAGTTTGGTGAGAGTACCCCATTTCCACATTGATGCCAGAACTGATACAGTGGACACTTGGGTATCTCATAGGTGCATAGGTCTATACCCGATGTGGGAATGTACCTAGAGGGTATAGCTGAGCTCTCGACTGTGCTTGGAACCTTTATTTTTTACCCAGCGCTGGCATTCAGCATGGTGGGCTTGGCACAGAACTCTGAGAAAAAGTACTGTTCAGCTTTCATGTGGGTAAGTAGAGTCCAGCTATTTACTGTGCCTCTTGAGGTTGGAAGAAGAGTTTTTGGAATAGTCTATTCCTCAGAGCATAATGTCCTTCTCATGACTCAGTCCACAGATACTGGCCTAACGGTAGAAGCCCTGCACTAGGTTTCACAGTGGCAGGCCTAGATTTTTTTCATTATCCAGGCTAATGTTTGGGGAAGGGATTCTTTTTTTTTTTTTTGCCTTTTTCATAGCTATTCATTATGATGTATTTGTAGGGAAAAATTGCTAGTTGTTTTCTGCCAACTGCCAACTCTTTTTTTGTTTTGTTGAGACAGGGTCTCATTCTGCAGCCTTGGCTGGTCTGAAACTCACTATGTAAATCATGTTGGCCTCAGACTCACAGAGATCTGCATCGCTCTGATTCCTGAGTGCTGGGATTAAAATTTGTCCCCCCCCACCCGGATCAAACCATCTCTCTTTATAGTTCCTAGGGTCTTTGCTTTTATTGATCTCTCTTGAGAACCCAGAATAGGGCTTGGCTCATAGTGGTTATTGAATAAATTTTTTTGAGTATATACTTCAGAATACTCATATAGCTCCTGTGGTTCTGCAGCCTCACTGATATGGTATTGGCATTATTTGATATATTTTCGAACATCAGGGTTTTTTAATGGCTCTCACTCCTCATCTGACTTGCATTTCACCAATTTCTAATATGATCAAACACTTTTTATGTATCTATTAGCTATGTGTTTTTTCTCTTTTATGGAAGATTCATCAATCTTGTGCTCATTTTCCTCTTGGCTGCCCACCTTTGTTTCTTACAGATATATAAAATTTCATAGATTTAGCATTTACACACTCTAATAATTATCTGTGTAGTAAATATTTTATTCAGTGTTTTTTCTATTTATGACTTTTATTTTTATTTATTGGGTGCCTTGTGCCATGGCATATGAGTAGAAGTCAGAAGACAACTTGTAGGGAATTAGTTCTCTCCTTCCACATGTGGGCCCCAGGGATTGAACTCAGGACAGCAGGTTTTGTGGGCAGTGCCTTTATCCACTGGGCCATTGTTGGCCCACTTTATGACACTTTTGATGAACAAGAATTTTTTAATTTTAATACAGCTATATTGGGCAATCATTGAAAATATATTTTTAGTTTTTGAAATTAAAATATAATTACACCTTCCCCCTTCCCTTTCCTCCTTCTAGTCCTTCCTGTGTATTTCCCCTTTGCTCTGTCCCAAATTCATGGCTTCTTTTTCTTGAATCTACCTTCTGTTTCTTAAGAGATAAATGCTCTCATGCATTGCTGGTAGAAATACAGAAGAGTACAACTGCTACAGGGTGAAATTTATATATAAAAATGATATCATCATTTACTATTACTTTTTGTCTCAGCAATTTCACTTCTTAGAATTTATTTGAAACAAATGTTTGAAAAATACCAAATTATATATGTACATATATGTGTATATAGATATATGGATATTTATGTATATATGTATACACACACACAGCTAATTTTCAGGGCATAGTTCAAAATAGCATAAGATTGGATATAAGACCTATATTTCAGTGTTTCTTAGTAGGAAAGTATCTGAATAACTATTGTACAGTGAAGTATTATGTAACTGTAAGAAAGCAAAAATATAGTTTTTACATTAACATGGAAATATTTATGGGATATATTATTAAATCCAGAAAAGAAAGTTTCAGACCAGTATTTATGTAGGAGAAAGGTATAACTAATGAATTGCATGTATGTATATATACATACACATACATACATATTCAAAAAAGGAAATACTGGAACTGTAAATCAAACTTAATAAGAACTAGTATTTATGGGGAAGGAAGGGAATGAAATGAAGGGATCAGAGATGGAATGATACTTTGTAAAGGTACTGATAACCCTTTTCACTTTAGAGTCACATACATGCTTTGCATGATTCCAAATGTAATAAAAACTTTAATCAAAAAGGGAAAACAGCTGGGGATATACTTTACAGTTGAGTGCTTGCTTAGCTTGCACTAAGTCCTGGATTCAGTCCCCAGGATCACATACACACAAACCTCAAGAAAGAATAAATCCATAAAATTCAAAAACAACCTGAAGCAAATAAAGCAAATGATAACATAGTTGACAGAATAATGACACAGAGAAAATAATTACTGTAGCGACTTTAAAGTAAAGCCTATCTATTACTAACAATATATACTCTAAGGACTGCAAAAATATAAAAGTATATTCGGCCATTTTATTGTTGTTAGCCATATTAGTATTGCTTATGGTGTTTTTCAGTTATGTGAGTATATTGTTAGAGAAAGCTAATAAACCACTTTGATAATATTATTAGGATCCAAGGAACCAGAAATAAAGCTCAGTGATAGAGAACTTGCCTAGAAGGCAAGCAGCCCTGGGTTTGATCCCTGGGTCTCCCAAAAACAACCCTCTAAATGAAATAAAACAAAAGAGATACAAGTCTAAAATCAGACTTTAAGAATAAATCTTGTCATATTAAATTTGAATTGGAAATGCTGTTATAAATTTAAGACCTGTTATTCTCTTATAAAATACTCCAGGTTTGTCTACTATAAAGGCTTATAAGCAACAACAATGAACACTCTGAACACCAGTAGTTTCTAAGTGCTTTTCGTTGAAAGGAACCAGGGATCGTCGGAAAAGTAGTTCAGGTTCAAGTTAGAAAACATGCAAGATAAGCTTGGCATAGCTTGTTGTGCCAGAAAATCAGAAAGCAATACAAGAGCTGGTTTTAAGGACTGCTTATAAGTAGTAAGCAGGACAGTTTGTCCACTACCACAAATAGTCACTATATTTAATTGAAACACATACATTATATAAAAATACATGATTTCATAATTGTACTACAAATAACCACTGGTCACCATTAGTTATCTCTAAATAAATAGTTCCTTATTCTCATAAATACAGAATCAGTTATTTGTCCTGCTTTTCTTACATAAACTATATTCAGGAAAACTAAAAAGTTGATGATTATAGAATCTAGATTAAAACTACAAAAGAAATAATAGATTAAGGGAAGCCCCATTTTGTAATTCCTAGTAAATTAATAGATGTAAACAGTAATTGCCAATGGATATAAAGTCCATTAGGTAAAAATTGAATAGGCGTACCGGTGTTGGTGGCACACGCCTTTAATCCCAGTACTCGGTAGGCAGAGGCAGGTGGATCTCTGTGAGTTCGAGACCAGCCTGGTCTCCAGAGTGAGTGCCAGGATAGGCTCCAAAGCTACACAGAGAAACCCTGTCTCAAAAAAAAAAATGAATAGGCATACATGATAATTGAGGGATATGACAAACACCAAATATGCCCAGTGAATATTATGTGCCTTTAGACATGGTACAATAGGAAATAAACAATTATATATGAATTTTTTGCTTTAAATATTGAACATGAATCTAATTAAATCTTTACAGAAACCATCATTAATTTAACTTTCTAGAATATTATAAATGATCTTTATCTGTTCTGGATAATCTGGAATATATATATATATATATTATTTGAAATGTACCAAATTTGACACAAACTGATAAAAAAAGCATAACCAAGTGACCAATGACAACTGTATTAGACTAGACTTAAGTGTCAAAAAATACAAGAAATTTTGAACAAGTTATCATCAGAAAACATTTCATTAAATCAATTTGTTCACAAAACAGATAATGGTTGTATACTATCAATGGACAGAGGATAAAGGTTGATGAAGGGATGGGACAGAAAAATGATTTCAAAGTCATAACAGCCAAAACTGACTTATATCTTGATTAAATAAACAAGTATTGAAAAAGTCACTGGCATAATCAAGGTCATTCAAATATAAATTTGGAATTGGGTGGTACTTAGGAATTACTAAGTCCGTAAATATGGAAATGCCATCCTGGTTCTATTCTTCAGATGTCCTTGTGAGTTAGAGGTATGTATGTATACTTGCATGAACTTGAGGTTTCTTGGTGCCTTACTTTGCCATGTATTGGCCTTGCTCAAGATGCAGTTTTAAGATACATGCACATTCTCATGAACATGCATGTGTGTGTGTGTGTATGCACACACACACATACACACACACTTGCTACATGTTATAAAAACCTTTCCTAAAAGAGGTTCTGTATCTGAGATCCAAAATTTAATTTTTATTAATTTTTAAAAGGTTATACTGGGGAGGCTTTGTAGAACTTCCATATCTCTTTGTCTTGATCCAGATGAACCCCCAGAGAAGAACAAAGGTGATCCCATGAACAACCTGGAAGGTTTTTACCACGAGACTATAATGAAAAAGCGTCTTGAAGAGTTCCAACTTATGAGAGGTGAACCCTTTGCTTCCCACTCACTGGTCTCAGCTACATCAGTGGGTGATAGTGGCACAGCTGAGAACCCATCACTACTCCAGGACAAGGGAAAACAGGCAGCACAGGGTAAAGGCCCCAGTCTCCATGTGGCAAAAGTTATTGATTTTCTACCTGAGCAGTGTTGGACTGGGCCTAAGAAGCTGACGCAACCAATAGAATTTATCCCTGAAGATGAGATCCAGAGAAACCGTTTGTCAGAGGAGGAGATCCGAAACATCCCTATGTTTTCTGCATATAACCCAGGGGAACCGAACAAGGTATAGGCCAAATCAAGACCACAACATGAGTTGTTTTCACTTTATTTACCTCTACCTAATGGAACATTTTAAAATTACCTTTGATTATGCCAAAGATTATGACATAGCTATTTTGTTTGTCCTTAACCTTAACCATCATTTTCCACATACTATTAAGTAGCCTATTTCATACCATGTTCTGTGTGCCTTTCTTAGATCCTAAAGTCCCCTCAGCATTTTCAAATAATAATGAGATCTAGAAGCTCTGAATTATAGGAAAAGTAACCACCATGTCCCTAGTGATTGGCCACCCAGTTGTGGGTACCATTAACAGCACAACTCCTTAAAGCATTAATTTTTGTCTTAATTTTAGAAAGCAGAATAAAGAATAATATTCCCTGATTTCAAAAAAAAAAGATGGATGAAGTGATACTGAAGTACTGTGAGTGACTTTCTGTTACGTTAGTCCTCTTCCCGGGGTAGCTCGACTTTCATTTACTTTACATTTGTCCTGAGCTGTTACTAACATGCCAAAGAGTAAATAGCCCATGAATAAGTTAGGGAGTATTTGTATACTTAGCTAGCCACGTTTACTAAGACTTAATATTTTTTCCTATTTTCTTAGTTTTAAAAATTAGTAAAGCTTTATGAATATAGCTGAAGAATTTCATGGATTCTTCATCAATCCCATTCTTCCTTCTTTCCAGGTTTAACCACTATTTCAAATTTTCTAGTTCTGTTCCCGTGGGTATTTTTATGCATTTACTACAGAAAACTGCATACAACTGTCCCTAACTAATAATAGCTAATTTTACTTTTGTTTACATGATTGTATGAGAAAATATGCATTTAGTAGAACCTATACTCTGGATTTTGAATTTTTATTTTTGTTAAGCTAGCAATATGCATTGTGGTGCTCTGGTACCTTATTGAGATGCTGGGCAGCCACAGTAACCTACATCTCACAGTCAGCTATATATCATGAGGATAAACCATTGACACTCCAGAGTATTAGGTTGCTAAGCTGCAGTGTTCCATAGATTACATATATTAAGTGCATTTCTGACTTAGGATATTTCAACTTAGAAAGAATTTATCAAGATATGACCCTATCTTAACCCAAGGTATATCTTAACTATCCATAAATATTCATAAATATCCATAAATACAGTTTCACACATTTGAAAACTATGTAGATGCTGTCATACTTTACATCTTTTTCTGGTACTATTTTGACTCAATATAGACTTTTAACTTTACCTAATAGTTTAGAAAGGTAATTTATTTTTAAATTTGCATATTCCTCATTTCCAGTAAAGATATACAAGTATTTTTAATTTATTAGCCCTTCTTCTACCCTCTGTGAGTTAGCTTTCTGTTCCTTTATCCATATTTTTATATTTTTGCCCTTTGTGTTTATTTATAATGATTATTTTTTCATTTTTTAAGATTTATTTTTATTGTGTGTGTCACATGTATGAGAAAAAGAACAAAGAAGAGAGTTATTTGGACTACTAATTTCTGAATATTTTCTGAAATTAATAGCAGACTACTAGCCATATATCCAGGAATCTCAGAGAACATTAAGCAAGAAGAATGCCAAAAACTACATCTAAGCATAACATATTCAAACTATAGACAGGCAAGATAAAGGAAAAAGGAATAAATAGGATCAAAGAGAATGACATCAGCCTCATCACAAGGCAACACAAGCAAGAAGAGGATGGAATGAAATATTAAAGTTTATAGAGAAAAAAATTCCACCCATGTAGAAATCTATCCAGAAAACTTACCTTTTGGTACAGAGGAAACAGAATAACAGTTCTCAGATGAACAAACATGTAGAGATTTTGTCACAATAAAATTATTCTCCTAAGTTTAGGAAAATTAGATAACTTAATAATTCAGATCTATATATAGGAAAAACATAGAGGAAAAAATACACAAAGATAAAATAAAATTATTTTCTCATTCTGTAGAACAGAAGTGGAGGGAATACATTTTTGTGAGGTGAGACTTACCTTATTACAGAAACCAGTTAAAAATATTAGGATAAAAGAAAATTACAACCTCTTAAAAGTCTTGTTCATAGAAGCAAGAGTCCTAATTCAAAACATTTTGAGTGTCATAATGAAATCTATTATTATATATAATTAATATATGCTAATAAAAGCATTAATATGGCTTCTTGAAGTGTTTTTATTTGTAACATATTAGAAAATAGAGTTTATTAATATATTCAAATAATTATAAATCATTATCAACAGATGTCCAAAACTGGTTCAACATTTGAAAATCGATGTAGATTTTATTGATTCCATATCAGTAAACTAAATAAAAAAAATCATGCTCATTTCACATGATGTAGAAAAAGCATTTGAAAAAATGCCTTAACATCCATTCGTGTTTTAAAACTCAGTGAACTAGAAAAGAGGAGAGTATCCTCAAGTTAATACAGAATAGCTATAACACCACACATCATACCTGGTAGTAAGAAACTAACTAGATACTTCCCTCATTGTTCCAGAACAAAATAAGAATATCTCCTTTACCCACTCCTTTTTGACAAGTGTTTTTCCAGCATAATAAGAGAAGGGAAGGAAATAGAAAATTCATGGATTAGGAAGAGAAAGAAAATACTGTTTACCAGTAATTTTGTCAAAACTCTCAAGTAATTGACCAGAAATCAAGCATACAAACTTTATATATAAAAAGTCAGTTTTCAACATCTGGCTACCTTATATGCCATCCTAGAGCCTTCATCCAGTAGCTGACGGAAGCAGAGGCAGACACCCACAGCTAAACACTGAGCTGAACTCTGGAATCTAGTTGTAGAGATGGAGGAGTGATGAGCAAAGGGGTCAGGACCAGACTGGAGAAACCCATAGGGACAGCTGACCTGAACAAGGGGGAGCTCATGGACCCCAGACTGATAGCTGGGAAACCAGCATAGGCCTGTTCCAGACCCCCTGAGCGAGGATGTCAGTTTGGAGGTCTGGGCAATCTATGGGGCCTCTAGTAGTGGATCAGTATTTATCCCTAGTATACGAATGGACTTTGGGAGCCCTCTCCACATAGAGAGATATTCTCTCAGCCTAGACACACGGGGGAGGGTCTAGGCCCTGCTCCAAATGATATGACAGATTTTGAAGATCCCCATGGAAGGTCTCACCCTCCTTGGGGAGCAGAAAGGGGTTGAGATGGGGAAGTAGGGGCGGAGGGGAGGGAGACAGAAGCTTGTTTCTTTTTTTAAATCATTTTATTTGAATTAGAAACAAGATTGTTTTACATCACAAGCCTAGTTCCCTTCTCCCACCTCCCCCGTCCTCCCTTAACACTGCCCCCAACTAAAACCCTACCTTTCGAAGATCCTTTCTTCTGTTCTTCCCCTGACTCAACCTTTCTGCTCCCTCATGACTTCTGCATCCTTCCTCTTCTTCCCTTCTCATTCTCGTAGCTCCCTTCCCCCTCTTTCCCTTGCTCTCAATTTGCTCAGGGGATCTTGTTCCTTTCCCCATCTCCAGGGGACCATGTATGTCTCTCTTAGGGCCCTCCTTGTTTACTAGCAAGAAGCTTGTTTCTAATCAAAAAAGAAAAGAAAAGAAAAAAAAGAAAATGTGTCATAGACCCAGGTAGAAAACAATACTCCAAAATACTTAGAAGAAAACAGGGGGATGAAATCCAAGTGGCCTTCTCTTTGATGTATTTTTCACCAAAAGCACAATTTATATAAAAAACTGATAAATTATACTTTGTTCAACTTACAAATTTTTCTGTGAAAGACATGTTAGAAATACACAGAAGACATACCATAGATTGGAAAGATATTTCACAGCACATGCATATCTAACAAAGGACTTATATCTAGAATACACAAAGAATTCCTAAAACTTGACAGTAATGAAATGAACAGCTCAGTTTAAAAAAAATGGTCAAAGGTAAGACTAGATGGCTCAGCAAAGAAGATTGTAATGTGACAAATAAGTCTATGAATTAAATATTACCACTATTTGTCATCAAACACTTGCCAAACGAAATAATGAGATACTGTTAAACACCTTCTAAAATGACTAAAATCTTAGATAAAACTGATAGTACCAAACACTGTTTAAGAACGCAGAGCAACAGGACCACATAATCATTGCAGGTGGGAATATAAAATGGTACATCCTCTTTGGAAGTCAGTTTGAAAGTCCCTTAAACACAGCAAAGCATTGTTTTACCCTGTGATCCAGAAGTTTCACTCTTTTTATTTATTCAAGTGTTTGGAAAACCTTTTTGTACATTTATAAAAAGGGGCATGTGAACGTTTGCAATGGATTTATTCATATTTGTCAAAAACAAAAACCAATCAAAATGTCCTCCAAATAGATGCATTTTGCAATGAAATATAATTTAGCAACAAAAGAATTGAGCTATCAAACCATATAAAGACATATACAAACTTTAGATTCATATTAATAAACAGAAGATGCTACTATGAAAATGAAGCATTTTATTATTTTATTCTGCAAAATTCAGAATGATAGACAGGCATCAAAACAATAATTAATTACCAAAAGTTTTAGGGGAGAGAAAAGTGGATCATAGAGCATTTTTAGGAGAATAAAATTATTCTATATGATACTGAAATGGTGAGCTTAAGGTGTACATTTAAGAGAATTTAGAAAACTGCACAGTATGGATTCTTAATGTGTACAAGTATTTAAAAATCATTTCGGAGATTAGAAACTTAGGAAAGAATACAGACTATGATAAGAGTGTATGTAAGACTGTATCACTAGAGAGGTAGGAGAAAGGGTACTGACCTAAGTGGCTCTAGAAATTTGTAATCTGCCAGACTAGCAGCACATGGGAACTGCACATAAGTACAATGCCCTGGTTGCTAAGGTTGTGTCTCCTGTTTAACAATGCTGATACTGCTGTACATGTAAATGGTTGGCGGATAGTAGAAGTTAAGGTTCTCACTGTGGGAATTTGTTTGTTAAATTAAGGGGTGATTAAAATAACCCATGTGTTAA